CCAACGAGTAATGTGTCAAAAAATGTATTAGGATTAGCCTAGGGAGAGATAATATGATAATATATAATCCTCCAATTGCCCTGTCCTTCTGCACAAAGAGAATACTAGTCCTCGAGTGATCTATTGCCAACATTATGTACCAGTGGAGATTGAAGTCACCGTAGGGATAGGATAGGCTGATGAAATCCAATTTGCCACCGTGCTTACTAAGACAGCACCGGTGGCTCAGTGGTAGAGCGTCGCACTCGTAATTGGTGGTATGCGAAGGTCGTGGGTTCAATCCCCATCCGGTGCAGATCTCTGTTTTGTTTTGTTTTGCTGATAGCATATACAATCATTTCTTTCCTTTGGCTCTTAATACATACTTGGATTACACTGATTTTTATGCTCTTTATTTAGGGAGGGCATGGTTGGATCTCTACTCATTGGAGATCACGAACTTCCATACTAGTTAAACATGTATGCAGGGTCCTTTGACCAAACCAGTAACTAGTCATTCTATAAAAGTAGCGTAATATGGTGTTTATACGGTATTGAAGCAAGAATGAATACTACTTACTATACGTAAGTAATACGACTGAAAATACCTACAACTTGGGCGCTCCTTCCTGCCTCGTACTTGGTTACTTCCTACCATCACCCAGAGCTGTGGCCCGAGACTTCCTTCTACCTGACGCTTGTAACAAGTTCGCGGTCTTCTGATCATCTCTTGCCTCGCGAAACACTCTTCTGCATCAAATGTCTGCCAACACGCTAAACAAGATATCAATTTGATATATCGTGTCAATCTGGAGAGAAAACAGGAGAGCATTTCCCATTATTATTCAAATGGTGATGGCTTCTCCAAGTGGCGAAAGGTATCGAACACACTTGCCATTCATGACCTCTTCTTCCCTGCTTCGCTTCTCAGAACCTGCTAGCTAACTTGAAAAACAGGCTGGCTTTTTGGTTATCGATTACAACGCATTTTGGACTGTATCAATAATACTGATCCCGCTCACGGGCCTGAGATTGACATAACAACCCATGCGTCTTCTCCTTCATTCCCACTCACGACTATGGATCAACCAAGATCCATCACAGCTTTTACTTATATGGATGAAGTTACATACAGAAATGTCCTTTTATGCGGCAATATCATCATCGAAGAGGAACCTTCTCCGTCATACACGGAACGCAAACCAGACTACGAGTTATCGTCTACATTGAAAGTACCTACAGAAGCCGAACACCCTCTGAAACATGCATACTTGAATAGGAATCGTTCTGTCGGTCTGGCTGCATTAATGTTTTCTATACCCTTCTTTTTTTCACTACTTCAATCACTGAATGACTCACTTGATTGTCGGAGTTGAAGTTCGACGTATCAATGGAATGGAAACCCGGGCAGAGAGCACACATATAGCTCTCATGGGTTTGAGCATTTATCCCCTTAAATGCGGTTGATTCCACTGATTGGTATGGGAAAATACAACTTGCATTTATGTACACTGATCAATGGTGTCACTCTTGCGAATCGGTAAGTTCATCAGTTGCTAATCGCTCATCGCACAATTTGTAACGCTCTTGCAGGTAACCGGCGAGCAACTCCCCGGAGCACCTTGAGGTGCGAGGGACAGTGCTACGATCCCTCAGTATACCAGACCCCGACATCGTCGTTGGCTATAATTGGAAATCGATACGTGGAAATCATAAACTTGCTTTCGATGAGTTGCCAGACAGTCTCAAGTTCGCGTTCCCCATAGTCGTGGATGGACATTTTGCTTTTCCCTTCTCTTCGGTCGAGATGAGAATCGACGCAAAGCAAGGCCCTCTCCGGAACCTCCACTTGGCCGCCTTAATGCTCGGAGGTCTGCGATACTTCTACCAAAAGGCCTACGGAAAAAACGACGGAGCCGACAAGTTCGACGGGAAGGTACGAGTACTTATGGCTACGATCAGTCGCAGCGATGTGAACGTATTCGGACACTGGACGAACAGCGACCTAGGAGATCCGAACGTTACTCACGAGCACTTTCTTATTAAAAAGTGGCACTTCGAAGAAATGGAAGAGTTATATGTGGCACGACATGGTTTAGAGACACTCTGCAAGTGGATTGCTCCTGGCTTGCGAGAATTGGCCAAGGCTTGATGTGATATTTCCATTTTTATGCTGGGCACTTGGATTAGATATTTGTCTGCTCTCCCTCTTCCCCCCTCCCTCTATCTGTGGGATGTGCGTTGTGTTTTTAGAACTTAGATGGGACATCAATAATAGTCAATCATTCGCTGAGAGGTGCCCTTGCCAAGTACATAGCATGTTTAGGAAGGAGAATTATCCGCGCAAAACGAAAATCTGTCTCAACTATGATATGATATTAGCAAACAATACCCAATAACAGACGACTCGAACTACACCTACATGATAAGATGTTGACCTCTTAATCGCTCTGTAGAAGGCCTTCGATGTTTGTGTTCCACCGGAACAAGCGATCTAGGAGCTGCATTTCTTCATAATACGAGTAATAACCATAGAAACATGGCGTTTCTTGCATCTAAGCATGGCTTCTGCAAATGATGGAGCTACTAATGAACGCTTGTCCAGTCTGGGAAGACGATGACTGTGCTAGACTGTACATCACACAGTCTACCTTAAAGCAATCAAAGCTCTCAACTCGAAATATCGTAGATGTTCGAACAAGCATCAATTATTGATTTGAAAGAGCAGAGACAAGGCTCCCCCTTGCTTCATCAATTTAGTTAACCCCCAGATTCACCCAATCCGCCACATACTCACCCGACAGGGAGAGAATTCACATATAGCCTTTACTGCGGCGTTGAATTTGCAGGGATATTTGGAATATAATATGGAATTGTATAGGGCTAGCTGGGAATTAGTTTCAATTACCTGTGCTCTATTACCTACCACTCGTCCTCATTCATATCCAACCGCTGTAGGATTCACGGCACATTCCGTAGATTTCACTGCATCTTCCCGTCTTCCATGGATATAAAAGGACGGAAGTTTCCATACCAGACATTTCCTCCCTCCTACATTCTTCTCTATCTTTCTTATAATTATCATCAAGAAGAAAATCTTTATATTACTGGCCATCAAGACCACTGAGATGTCTTCTATACCGAGCAATTATGACATCTACTACGATGGCCACCTGTTGTATGCTATGACGCACGATCGTTATAGAAACTACAGACTGTACTATACATTCTCATCGAGATAATATCTCTACATGTCGATTTGAAAGCCAGTTGTTTCAAACAATCAGACTCACTGTGGACATAGGTCGACCTAACAGCTCCACGACAACCACGAGATAATCAAAAAATTATCAGCCGAGCGGCTTACGAACCGCGCCTCTTGAATATAGTTGCTATCAATTACTTCCGCCCACGGACAATGTTCCTTTGTCGTGGCATGGCACGAGAGTCTCACATGGAACTGCTGGGACAACGGAATGCGCTGGGCCCTACAGACGGCACTACTCCGCACCGGCCTCACCCTTCATATGTTCTAGAAGCCCTGTTGGGCATGCGAGTCGAACGGAACCCACATTTGTATGTGCATGGCGATACCTGATGCTGATTTCCCTGCACCCAATCGAGCCAATCGAGGAAGTGCCCTTGAATATGCACCCAATGATCCATTATTGTTGCCTTGCCAAGCCATGCTGACGAAGAATCCAGCTATCAGGGAGGTAACATGCCGTCTAGCAATTGCATCCCTCCAGAGAGTGGTGTCAGACACTACGACAGCCGAGAATTGCTCTTTCTATTCGAAGAGAGCTCGAAACTTTGATGGGCTGGGCGGTAAATACAACATCTTAGTACAACTTTATCGAACCTGGGATCGGGTTCCATGAAGGCTAATGGCGACTTCAGCAATATATCGGCGAGTGCAGACAGTCTCGCCAGGAAGTATAAGGTGACTGGCAAGACTATCTGCAGACAGAGACTGAGAGCACTGGAAAAAGCTATTCAAGACACAGGGGATTAAATCTGGGGTCTACGAAGACCATAGAAACTAAGCGATGCGAACTAATCCTAAGAACATGCAGCTTGGGTCCTCAACAAAGTCTTAAGTCCAACTCTTTCCGTCCAGTACTCTGGTTACATTTAAATTCTTGCCCTACTTCTACCAGTACTATGTTCAACACTATACTGAGTGATATACCCGTTGCTGCATACTCTTTTACCACCGTGACCATCATTACGACTAGCAATTTCTCAGGCACGGCATTATGCCGGTATCTACTGTCCATACCGCAACACGGAAACAAACAGTATAATTGACACCCAAATATTGAACCCAAACTTGTCTTTTGCCACGAAATAAACAATCGTGTACTGAAGATCAATGGACATGCTGAAACCGTTCGACCCAGTGGATGAAACAACCGGCAATCATATTGGCAGCGGTTAGTGACCCCAACAGAAGTTTGGAATTGGTTCCCCAAACCTTTGCGGAACCCTAGTCAACAGCAACACCAAATTTCAACTTGAATACATCTTCGAATACTCCTTGTTTAGAGACTGCATACGACACACTCCATCTAATGCACCAGATGTGCATCTCTCCCTACTATACCATTGGACAGATATTCAATGAATTCTGCCAGCCCAGGTGCCGAAGATTGGGCCATTTCTCTATCTTCCAACCATGCAGAGATGTTGTTACGAATGCAACTTATACAAAAAATCGTACGGATTAGGCTGTGTGTCCGATACATGCTACCATTTCGGCCTACGTACAGAAGCCTTACCGACGTCCCTCTTATATAGAATATTCGGCTCTGTGAGCCCTGAAACTGCATGGCAAGCATTGGGAAAGGATCCTATCTTAAGTTTCCCTTGTGCTTGGGACAGATAACAAAGATACGACGCGACGACACTTCAACGTGTTGAAAAAGTTCCAGAAATCTTCGATTATATCAATAATGAGAGTGCCACAGCAATGCTTGGCTATAAATGGAATTTGATACGTGGAAATTATAGACTTGCTTTCAATATCTTGCCAGACAGTCAGAACAAAGAACCATCAAATCGAATTGGGCGTTGATGAAAGCCGTCACTTGCTGTGGATCTGTCTGACAGTTTCGAAGTCGTTGTCGCCGCATATGACTTCTGGTGTGGACCGCCATCGTTCGCGGCGAGACCGTGACTTTGACTAACGTTTTGGCGGCCCCGACTACAAGGGGTCCTTTTGTTCGCGGACCGCCCCCGCCTCCCGCGGGCACTCCCAGGTAGGGCCACCGAACGGCTGTTGGAGGGCTCCCGGGTTTCTGGGGAGCTTTAGCGTCTTTCTGGACCTCAGAACAGATCAAGGCCTGGAAGGAAGAGGTATTAGGTCCAGACGGGGTGGAGACCTGTTCTAAGCTCATGTGCTTGGTCAATCTAGCCCATATGTTATGGGAAATACAACAGTCTCCTTGTGAGTGTTTCCTTTGGCTTTACAGAAACCCGCAGTCTCTGATCATATGGTTTTTTCTGATACTGACCTCTACTTACAGTAAACCCTCTCTGCTGCAAGCTCGGTGTCACTGTGATTGGGGTTACATCGATACCATCAGTTTCTTACTCCATTGAAGACCAGGTGCTACAAGCATTTAAGATTGAGTCTACCCACGTACTCGGCCCGTTTACGGCTGCCAACTGCGACATTGACAAGGATACCGAAACATGGGAATCAATTTGCTGTTCAAACTCCACTAGGAAATACAAGCGGGAGTTCCAATAACCTCCCGCAGGGTCTATGAAGCGGACTAGCGGCGTGCCGTCGGCCATTTCTTCCACGTCCTCTTGACGTACCAAACTGAGCGAAGTCGCAAATGAGAGACGGCAGGGCTTCATTCCGAATCCAGTCTCCGCATGTTCCTTTGACTGACATGCACAACGTCTCAGCTACACAGTAGCTAGGAAGGGATGCCAGCAGACAAATATCCACCTACCCAATGGACATCTCGCTCAGCACTTGAGCTTACTCTGTTTACCACATCGCGGTAGTCCAAACGATGCTCTTTGGACAGTTGTTGAACCGTCATTGACATTCGAGGAAGGTACATCGTTGGCATAGCATGCCAAACAACACGAACGCAGAGTTGACCTCTATAATACGCAAGATATGCTGACTCTATACAACCAGGTCGCCGGAGATACTTGGGCCGTGACGATCAAGGCATGGAAAGAATGTGCTTTGATGCTTGATGTGCCGTGGCCTATTGACTGAGCCCGAAGGATCCCAACAGCATCAATATCAGCAGGCTCTTAGCAAGTCTCTATTATTTCACGTGCGAGAAACCAGGCACGCATACCCGTTATGCGGTTTTTTTTTTCTTCTTTCAATGGACCAGCTCATTGGCACTGGTGGCCGAGGAGGAAGAGGGCGAGGACGCATCGTAGGTATCAAAGCTAATAGTCATTGTTATTATAGGCTGTACAAGTTATCAAGGGAACTATGTATGCAGCGCAAGAGAAATGTTTGTCGCGCCTGCAGGCGCCGTGGTCACTCCGCCCAAGAATGTTTTCTCGTTAGAGGGCTAGAGGCCATTTGGAATCTCAGTATATCCGTCTAGAATGGGGCCAGGAAATTCAATCATGAATGTTACTGGGCCCCTGTCCGCGTTCTCTCTCTTATGGACAGACCGGAATTCTTTAAGGCAGTCAGAGCCAAAGTCATTGCTGGTCTTGTTGGTGTTCTCTACTCGGTTTATCGCAACCATCCTCAATAAATCGGGCAGCTTCATCATATATCTTTTTTGGGTATCAGCATCCAGAAGGCCTTGGAAATCCATCAGATGTGCATTCTGTGTCAGAATACACTGGGCTTGGGACCCGGCGGAAAACAGCAGGAGGATTTGGTCGCCTACTGCGATGCGATATATACTAAAACTCATTGTGAAGCAAATGAACATGTCTCCAACAAGAAGCGACCGTTTATAGCGGATCATTGCTCCTGGTCATTAGTGAAGAAGCTCAATATGGAGAGAACTCTCCCATTCGACACGCTCTTGCTAAGTACTTGAGACTTGCAGTGGCATGATGAACGCAATATACCAAAATGCGAGTCTTTTCCTGCGAGATTGATTGTGGTCCTCCACCTATAAACACACATGGCAGTTCTGAAATTGGCCCGGGGCATTCAAGCCATTTTATACCACACAGATGACGGAAACATCGGGCTGTTTAATGGGCTGCCTGAGAACACACTGCGCCATTTGGATACATGATCCGCGACAATTCCTATTACTGCGAAGGCCGCTTTGCGAACGAATTCAGTTAATTAACTGACAATTAACACGGCAATCAATACATCGACATTCAAAAGCGAGCTGGAGATTGCCTGGGACTCGTTCCATACAGCATTAAGTCAACGGCAACCATCGTCTCCTGTGATTGACAATCTCATCCTCGACGACCGATAGGCCGTGATATTGCAGAACTCCTGCAACTATCTGTCCTTTCCGGATGTACACGAAGTGGCGATGTTATTAATATCCTCGTCTGCGGAAGAGATACAATAGCCACAGTCGGCTTTACAATACGATTTTCCAAGCACGGCGTGTGATCTGCCTTCAAGGAGTATAGCATTTGATCCCCACCTATCTCCAGAAAGCAAACCTCGAACAGAGCAAGAACAATTTAGTAAAGACGCTAGACAGATCAGGAACAACCAGAAAGCAAAGCGAGGACTAGGATTTCTAACCGAACAAGGGCAGATGCTAATTTGGGGTATTATTCGACCCGTCCGAGGGGACTTCGCCAAGTCCAGCCTCGCCAAAGGTATGAAACTGCTAGGAGTACATGACTCTACCGCCAAGTCCTTGACAGTTTCGGGAGTCATCCACGGGCCGATCCCTATGAACAGGCGTTTGCACACTAAAAGGTTCTTAGGTGCTTCTGGCACTCCTCCTAACCGACACTGCAAGTGGTTATAAATGCTTTCGCTGGGATCGGCACTGGGTTCTGTCCCAGATGTCGTCAGAAAAGAGTCACCATATCTAGCTTAGCCCCTGCAGTTGTCATCCCTGATAGGAAGATAGAACTTATACGGGTGGCAGGTTCCTCATATACAGATAGATTGAATTTTTACTGCCCAGCACCATAAGAATCATACATACCCTCTGCCCCGGGATACACAAAGGACAGGGCTCGCAGAAAATCCAAATCCCCGTCATACACATGACAGCCAACGGCGGAAGAATACAATCGAGACATTGATGAACCGCCATAACGCCGTTGTCGGCTGCACCACGAGAGCAAACCTGACAGTCATGGACCTGCAGATATCATCTCTATATTACGACCGATCAGTGAGCACAGGAAGTGACTACCAAGCTCATCTTCCGGGCCACATAGGGCCTGGCTAGTATGCCAACATCGCTTAGGGCAGGTGGTTGAAATGGTGCAACAATACGCAAGGACTGTCGGTGGTCGTTCCTCATATTCCAAAGGCTCTGGACAATTTCAATACTACTCCCGTAGTAGTAAGTCCGGGGACAGAAGGGTATATTCCTGGAATAGCAGAGCTCGTGGCATGGGTGATTCCTCGGTTCTGCACCGGCCTCTACATGTCTATTTTGTCGCTCTCCTAGGAACTACACTGGTGAATCGTCTGCTACGCGTCTTTTTCTTGTCCTGTCTCTTCCACTACGTCTGCCGCGACGCTTCCCGCGGTGTTGTCTAACAGCTTTCCTGTTGCCTCGTCATGCCTGGCGATCACGTTCGACGTTATCGAGTACAAGCGTTGTCCAACCATTATAAATCTCCCAGTCAGGGTTATAGTGGCTGTCGGGTCGCGAGCGGCGCTGGATAGCGCTGCTGTGTCTTGGTCCCGCGATCGATACTTGGCCTAATCAAATACCCAGTCCAGTCCGGAACTCGACACAACTACGCGAGGCTATCCTCGTGACTTGGCTTGGTCGGCTTCTACCTCGCAACCAGATGTCCGGAATATCTATTAAGGGGATGTCAACCCCCAGATATTTCTTTCAGATAGGGACCTGTTGGAGGAAATGACAGCGAAGAATGAGGCGGCCACAGAAATAACAGCTATCAGCTTTGGACTAAATCTGGAACAGTGTCTTTCGGAGGATCCGGAACCTCCATCTTGGAATATAGAAGGCAAGTCAACCTCCACCGTGCTTGGACAATGATTGACAGCGAACTGAACTGGAAATTCTTTTCCCAAAGCGTGATCAGGGTGGACTCCACTTTCGTGGAGGAGATTTCACACCTGATGCCTTCCGCTGGCCGCTGGAATAACTGTATCCAACAGATCCCAGAATATGATGAGATAATATAGGATTAAGAGTCGTCAGTTCTCCGAAGAACTTGCCGGGACGAGATGCAAGGAGAATCCTTAGCAATCTCTCGCATGCCTCGTTTCAGAGGAACGAATCCCATCCAAACGACGGAAATAGGCTGTGGGTATTGCGATTGATCCCCGAGAACCTTCAAAATGGCGGTTACAGCGGAAAGGATGTGACAGTTGTCACACCTTACATGGCACAGGTTGTTGGATATCGTCATGCTCTCTTCGCAAGAGGAGGCGGTCTTTGGGAGCGGAGATACCTAAAGTTGCGACTACGGATTCAAGCCAAGGCAAGGAGTCGAAAGTCATTATAAATGACTGGGTGATCACTTCCGCAAATGCTTTTTCGGACATGGGATTTACCATCGACAGCAACCGTGAAAACGTTGGTATGAGCAGAATGACAGAAGTCATGCTCAATATCCTTCCTGCGCGCGTGGGATCCGACGCAAAGAGCATGCCTCACGATCCGCAGACTGATCACTTGGGTGATAGGGTGAACTCGGAAGTTCCATATCCATGCCCATTTGTTCAGTGGTACTCGAGTGATCGAGAAGTGCATAATTACATGATCTTAGTGAGGCTGCTAAGCGGCTGCTTGATGAGGAGCTTGATGACATGGACCTGTCTGATGAAGATTTTGAGGCGCTGCAAGGCGAAGCCAAGGGCACTTCCGCCAACACACAGACTAACGCCCCATTTTGGCTAGACGATGCGTTGACGCCGCAGCAAGTGGCCTTGCTTGCAATTGTAAGTGTCGAGTATTCCGTTCAGCGCTAGCCCCATATACTAATGTACTATAGGTCCGACAGAAGAGGGAATCTTCAAAGCATTCAGCTTTGCAGGAAAAGAAAACTGCGTGCGTTCAGGGAGCTGGATTTACTAAAGACGTGGCATGGCTACTGACATACGCACTACCAATAGCAGTGCGATACATAAGATCGACTTCGCTGGGCCTTTGAACATATGATCTGCCAAAAGAGACCGTTACGGCTGTACGGGGAGAAGACTGTGTCTTACAGATAATTATCCAGCACATTGGACAGGCTATGGGGAAGGGGGTGTCGTTCGCTCCCGGTTGATCGATGCAAATTTGGCGACTTCAAATCGTCCATGTATCCCAAAGGGTATCGCAAGGTACCCGATATCAGGGTACCTCAACGCACAAGGTATGCGTCCAATGCCCTGTCTTCATGGTGGAGCACCCGAAAGACAATCATACATGCCCAAAACTGCATATTGTGAATGTGTCCTAGATGGTGGTTCACTCTGTGAGACTGGAACCCTTCTATGATCTCTGCCACTACAAGGGCCTGGAGAAATGGACTAGCGGCATGGTCTGTTGTTCAAAGGACCTGGGATAACGAGTAGCATCTGGTACCAGAAGACTGGAATCCTCCGACAAAGGACGAGCAGATTGTCTTTCTTTCGACATACGCGATGGCTTTGTACATAGGCCACAGGGTGGTGAAAAGGGCTAGGCCCTGTCAGCCATCTGGAATCGGAACATCTATGTTCTGACCTGTCTGGTTCTGGACCTTGACCTGGAGATATTTATAAAAAAAATAGAAATCTTTAGAATAATAAAGAAATTTACTAAAGTTATAAAGAAAAATTTTCAGAAGAATTATTTATAAGAAAAATTAATTTATTTATAAATTAGATAATTCTTTCTCTAATAAATTTAACTTCTTTATTAATTATTATATTTTATATAATTCTTTCAGCTTCTTAACCTGTTATAATTTTAAATTTATTTTTTTTTAAAATATTTATCAGATAATAGACCAGCAATATATAATAATTATAATAAATTAATAGATATTTCTAGTTATTATAAAAATATTATTTAAGCTAATATTATTAACTAATTAATTAAATATATTAAAAAATTAATAATCTAGAATATAAAAATATAATATATTATTTTTTAATAAAATATAATAATAGATAATAAAATTAAAGCTAGTTTTAAATAAATTAAATAATTTATTAATATCTGATTTCTATCTTTTTAAATATTTATTATAATATTTTTATTTATATTAATATTAATATTAGTATTAATACCAGTTTAAGATTCAGCTAATATAAAAAAACTAAAATTATTAATATTTATAAGTTTTAATAAAAAGAATAAAAATAAATTTTTAAATTAATTTAATAATATATAAGTAAAGATTAAAATTAATTAATAATTTATTAATATACCAGCTAAATAGATCTGGTATATATTTATATTTTTAAATAAAAAAATTAAAATAAAGATTAATTTATAAATAAAAATTAATTATAAAACTCTAGTTTTTTTAATTATAATTTTAATTAATTATTTTAAATAAATCTATAAGAATCCAGCTTAATAAAAAAAAATTATTAATAAATTATTTATTTTCAAGCAGAAAAATTAAATAATTAATAATTTTTTAATAAAAATTAATAGCCTGTTAATTAAGATTGAAAAATATAATTAAAAAAATTTAAATAAAAAAAATTTTTTATACCAAGCTCTAAATAATAATATTTATTAATAAATAATAAATATTAAACAGAAACTAGATTTTAAAAATTTTTATTAATAAATTAAATAAATAACTAATAAATTTATAAAAATAAACTAATTCTTAAAAAAATAATTAAAATATTTAAATATTTAGATAAATAATATTTTTAAAAAAATAATTATAAATAATATTATAAATTAAAAATTTATAGCAGCAAGTATAAGACCTGTTTAATAAATTTAATAAATATTAAAAAAAATATTAATTAAATATTATAAGATAAAACTTTATTTATACTACAGATTTTTAGAATATTATATTATTAAATATTTTTATTTACTATTATAATATCTCCAAGATTTAAAAAATAAAATTTATTAAATTTTATTTAAAAATAATCTAGCCAGTAAAACCAGCCAGATATTAAAGAATTTAATTATTTAATAATTTTTAATTTTAAAAAAAATATAATTTTCCTAGATTATTACCTGGAGAGGTATATACTAATTAATTATAATTATAAAAAATTTAAAAAAAAGATTTAAAAATTTAAAGATTATTATATCTTTTTTATATTAGAATTAATTAATAAAATTTATTTTATAAATATCTTAATTAATACTGGCTGTATATCTTATAGAATAATTAATTAAAATTTTATAAATAAAAATAAACTGGAGTATATTCTTATTAAATTTTAAAATATTAAAAAATTTAAAAAAAAGAAAGCCTGTATAACTAAATTAATAAAAATATTATTAAATATAAATAAAAATTTATAGAAATATATATACTTTTATATCCTGCTATATATATATAAATATAATATTATATTAAGATTTCCGTGGATAAAGTACCAGAATATAATATTTTAAACTAAGAATTTTATATTTTATATCTAAAGTATAGAGGTGGAAATATAATATAAATAAAAATAAAATTATTTTTTAATATTATTTTTAATTTTTACCAACACATAGTACACTTAAAAAAATTAAAAAAAAAAAAACTTAATAAAACTGTTTATAATAAGCTTAATAAATATTAATAAAACTCTTTATAAATTTAACTAATTAAAAAATTTTATAAAAATAGAAAATAAGCTACCAGGCTCCTACTATAAATATTTAAATATTTTTAATAAAATAATAATAAATATTTTATTATTTTATTACCCGGGGATGGACCATGCTATAAAAATAATTAAAAATATTAAAAAAAAAAAAAATTTCTTAGAATTCTCTTTATTAAATAAATTAACTAGAACTTTTAATATTATAAAAAATCCTGATTAATCTTCTAAAAAAAGAATTTATAAAAATTAATAATTTTCTAGTAGTTATATTTATATTATTTATTTTAAAATCTAATAATAATTTATATTTTTATACAGATTACTAAATATTTAATTAAATAATAATAAAGGACTAGTATCTTTTATTATTTATTTAAGAAATTTTTTAATATATTTTAAAGATTTATTATTATACTAAGCTGGATATTATTTAGATCTTTTATTATATTTAAATTAAAGAAGAAGATAAATAAAAAATTATATTTTATATTTATTTTAAATTATTTAAATAATTAATAGTCTTGTTCAGACTTATTAATTATTTAAATATATTTTAATAATATATTAATTAAATTTTATAAGAATTTCTTAATAAATTCTGTTTTATTTATATTAATAATATTCTTATTTTTATAAATAAAAGTCTGATTATATATTATATTTAAGTATAATAAATATTAGAATATTTATAAGATATAGATCTCTAAATAAATATTAATAAATATAAATTTAAAATAACTACTATAAAATACCTAGAATTTATTATTAAAGTAAGAAAAAAAATTTATATAAATTTTATTAAAATCTAGATTATACAGGACTAAAAAATACTAAAAACTATTTATAATATTAGAATTTTTTTAGAATTTACTAATTTCTATTAGTAGTTTTTTAAGGACTGGAAAATCTATTTAAAATCTTTAATATAATTTATTAAAAAAAATATTAAGTTCAGCTGGACACCAGAAATCTAAAAAATATTTAAAATATTTAAAAGAATTTTTATTATTATTTTTATCCTCATGTATTAGGATCTTGAATAAAAAATATTAATAAAAATTAATTTTTTTAAATAATATATAAAAAAAATATTATTTTAATAAAATAATTAAGAAATTTTTTATCTAGTAATATACTTCTTAAAAAAAAATCTATTTATAAAATATAATTATTAAATTTATAATAAAAAATTATTAGTAATTATTTAAGTCCTGTAAAAATAAAAACTAGAATTTATTATATTTTTTTATTTTAAAATTCTTAATAATTATTAAAATTTAAAATATTTTATAATCTAATAATAGCTTACAAAATAATAAATATATTAGATTTAATTTTTAAATTATTTTAATTTTATAATTAATTATTATCCAGAAATAATAAATATCTAATCAGATATTTTATCTTAAAGATTCTAAAATATGCTTAAGAAAAAAAATAAATATATTATAAATTAAAAAATCTAATTATTTTATTCTGTATCTGAAGAAAAGCTTATTTATATAATATTTATTAATAAAATCTTTAATAAAGAAATCTCTGCCAGTTTAAAACCTAGAAAATTAATATTAAATAATTTATAAAAATAAATAGAACAGGCTGATAAAAATTTAAAAAAATATTATAAAATAATAATTAAAAATAAATTTAAATTCTTTAAACAGTTAAAATTAAAAATCTTTATTATAAAATATTAACTAAATATAAACTAATATTTATTTTTTTAAAAATAAGTTTAAATTTCTAATTCAGAGTCCTTATAAATTTAAATTATTTAAAAAGTCTATAATAGTATAATTACTAAATATTTTAAATAAAATTAAATTTATAAAATAATTATTTATTATTACTACTAGCTAGATATAAATAAAAATATTTATTAATTTTATTATAATTATAACAGCTATAAAGTTAATTATATTTAGAAAAATTATAAGTAAGATTTTTTAAAACTACTACTAATTTCTGATTAATCTTAATAAAATATTATTATTAATTTTCTAGTAAATCTCCCAGAGTCTTAAGATTATAAAAATATTATAATTATTATTAATTAATTAATTAAAAATATTATTATTAAAGCTGTCCTGAGCATAGATATAAAAAATTTTATAAATATATTTATTTAAATATTTTATAATTATTATAAAATATTTTAATTAATAGTTTCAGACCGCGGCTCTCAGTTTATAAATAAATTATAAATAATTTTATATAAGATTTTAAATATTAAATAATATTTTTTTATTATTTATTATTCTGAAACAGATGGAGTAATAAAATATTAAATTATAATTATTAAAATTT